ATTTAGGATAGGGTGAGGGGTGAAAAATCTTCCATTTCCACTTTCACTAATAATTCTAGGATTAGGTGGTTGGGCAGTGCACCTAGCTCTTGGATAATAATTATTAGTGCGCATGTTCAGATGTTGGTCTGACACGCTCTTGATATTATCAGTCTTACAACTTGGAGAGGCTAGGGGCACATCACATGACATTAAAGGAGTGAACCTGTTCATCGTAGTTGGGAAAGTCGGTGGCAATCGGGTTTGAATCCTACCTACTTTTTTACTTGAGACCCAAGATTTAATCAGCTCACTCTTCTTAGTTAAAGACGGAGAATGTTTCGGTCCCCTGGACGTGTTTTTCAAAATCACGTCAGTTTCTATCATGTTCTCTCGTGCAATATATTTTGGGGATGGATCCTTAATTTTATTAGTTTTAGCTGGAACTGTGTTGTTTTTTGGGACATATTCACTCGAGTTAACGTTCGAACTGCTGGGATTAGGACTGCAAGTGTCATTCGATTTCTTGGTGACAGAGGGGATCCGTACTTTGTTCGAAGGTTTACAGTCCACAGGCTTATCAAGATCTACATCATGGTTTATTTGTTTATTTACTTTCATGACATTGAGGGTTGTTTTCTGTAGATTGTTTGCTGCCTCACCGTTATGTGATCTAGTCGCCTCTCTTGTTTTTACACGACGTTGACAAGGCGTTAGATCCGGGGTAACATTTACTTCTTTGTATAAGGTTGATGAGCTAATATTTTTGCTCAAACGGATAAATTTTTTGGCGTCGTTGCAGCAGCCGAATTTGAAAAGGAGAGGGCAAGTTGACTTGTCCGATTTTTTTCTGAGGCGAGTGACGTGACAGTTGACGTTTGCCATGTCACACGCTTTCAGACAGGTATCCTTTAGCGAATTCAAGGATGTGCGGTCGGGTAGGTTATATGCAATCACATTGCAGGAAGACATTATTCTTTTCGTAACTTCCTCGGCAACAAAATCTAGGATATATTCCGCTTTGGCTAATTCTTCTAGGTTCCTATCATTATTCGGGGCCCATAAGTGCATGAGGGGTGCTAACAAGCTAAGCTTATCGTTAATCTGGGCAAGTGAGTTTTCAAACTGTTGTATCTCGCTGCCGTGGTTATAACTACTATTAACGGTTTCGGATGGAGCATTCAACTCCTTGGTTTGTAAATTTCCTGATTTAGGCTTTACAAGATTATGGTGAAGTTTTTTCTGTGTAGACGTTTCGGTATATTTGGGTATAGTATCTCTTATATCTACGAGTTTCACTATTGGATTACTTAGTGAAGATTGATCTGACATAGGGTTTGCAGATTTTGATCTTTTAGGTGGTTTAAAAGTTGGTGACATTTCTCTTTTACTCGAATTATTTGTCATAATGGAAAATAAGGTGGGATAATGGCTTGTCTAAGTAACTCAAATATCTAAGGGTATAACTTATTGTGTATTAACTGTGTTAATACCTAAAATCAGTGGCGGATTTTTAAGATAAGAGGTTCAGTTATGAAGTGCAAGAGTCACTGTAAGTAGGCTTAAACTAGTGTATTCAGAAGTTAAAATCGATATCAAACGATAAGTATGTATTAACTGATTAAAAACTTAGGAGGTTTGCTTTCTAGAAGCAAAGTGCACCGGGTACAATAGATAAATTCTACTAAATCAGTGTAATACCCTACGAATGTTAAACTTCAGAAAAACACTATACCACGTGAAAAAAAGTTACCACTTTCAGAGTTCGCGCGCACAACTACTATACCCTTTTAGTCTTCTAAACCACATTTTTCGCAATTACTCGTTTTGTCACATTATTTTTTTACACTACAATTAACGAGTCAATTCTATTTTTTTTTTAAAAATATAAATGAATAAAATACTTTTTACATGAAAATAAACAATCCAACTGTGTGACTATATTTTCCTTTTTTGGCATGTAATGGGGCCTTCATACTGGCTTTTTACATTAACGCATAGTATATTATTAATGAATATGTCATACCATTCTCCACTTTCTTGCATACCTTTCTAATTATTATTCTGCATAAATGCACACACCGTACTCCCACGTATTTTTTAAATATAACCAGTTTTACGTCCGGACACTCTGGGGGGGAGGTATGTGGAGATGGCATGACAAACTTATTTTGTAAATAGTTTTTGATACTATTTGTATTTATTCTGTTAATTTTCACAGCCTGTACATTCACTATGATATTGTTGTACATTTTGTTTAAGTGAGTGTCCGTGAATATATCAGGCGCTTTAACTGCTCCACGTTTCCGTTCTGTGTACACATAGCACGGCACTCACTGCCTGAAGACAAGTCACCAGCAAGATAACCATCGGGCAATTTGCCGTATGAATAGAGAAAATCCAGAAGAACTATACTGTTAGAAATAATCTTGATCTACAGAATATAATTATGAAGCTTAGTGATCTGATGCTCTAGTAATATTTTATTTATCCTTTTACTTTTGAATGCTGTGTCTCAAGAATCCACGTGTGAGTTCTTTCTCTCCATAATTTTCTAGATCTGCTTGTGCGAGGGTTCCTTGTTAGGAAGTGATACCAATTCAGGGTTACAAACATAAGTCGTAGACGTGGTTAATAAGGAAAAGTAACATCAATATCATTCAATGGTTACATCTTGCTATACCAAAAGGAGCCGTAAGCAGACAAATTGTTCTGCCCCACGGACAGAGGTAGATTGAGGTTATCGCCCCACCGTCATGAATGCCGGCGAGACATCACACCCTACCTACTTTTGCGATGTCAGGCTCTCTGATGTTTGATGGTGGACTTTAAATAATGTTTTTCAGTCTAAGCTCTATTTTTGTGCACCTGGTCAGAATTCACTTTCTCTACTACCCCCATGTTACAAGCAAACCAGACAAATTTGGCTTCTGCATGTTGGACTAAATATCCACGTAGCATATCACACTGCTAGTAAGTTGACTAATTGTGTAAATTGTAATATATGTGTCAGTTAACAGGTAGTTTGGGAATAGGAAGGATAGATAGCTGATGATTGAGCATAAAGAAAAAGTGTTACAACTAATGAGCAAGGCGATAAATAGATAAAAGAGCAGGGTGTTTGGATGTTGATGATTTTGAAAAATAAAAATTTATTACACTGTTAATACATGAAAAAGAAGGGAGTGACAATAATACAGGAAGTTTGTGTTCCTTGTAATTAACAGTAATTGAACAGTATCTACAGGCTTTTCAATTTATCTGTTTACTAGAAACGAAAACTAAATGTTTTGTGAAAGATAAGAAGATAATGATGCGGATTTAAATTTTGAGAAATCTTCGAATGTTACGGGTTGCACCTCAAAGGTATGACGTTCTACTGTTAATAGGAGTGGGGGAATTCGTCCACCGTTTCATGAGACCTGTGTGAATGGTGACGGGGTGCAATAGATTCATAGTCTGTTATTTGTTACTTGGTTTAAGCTTAATAATGAAGATGTCCGATTTTAATCGTATTTGTTATTGATAACGACGAAAAGGATGGTATTTGTAATGAATAAAGCTAACTCCCCAACGCTTCTTTGTTTTGTCAACTCTAGCTAGTGTGAAAGTTTCGTAATCGAGTTCCTAATTGTCAGCAGACTGAGTCAGATAAGTTTCTGTGATGGCGATCGAGTCTGGATTAGTTACCACCTCGACCGCCTGTTAAGTAAGTTCCGATGTTTGTGTAGCAGACCCGAAGGCCATTTAAATGACTTCGTTCTTCGGTATCATTCTCCGTCAAGGCCTGACCACCATAAATTTTATAATTCCAATGTCTAATCATTATTTTAACTCTATAGAACTTCAGGAGCATTTTTATATTTAGTAGCCATTTGGCATACTGAAAGCAAATTGGAGCTCAGAGCTTGCGCTCTTCTTTGCCTTTCCGGAGATGACTGAACTGTTATTATGATCAGCTTTTGGTTTCGGAGCTACTTCTGTAAATCCTGACATTTCTTTAACGATATTTGGTCGTTTATATTTCCTGGCTTGTACCCACTCATCGGTTTTCATTGCAGTGGCAATTACAGCTGCGCCGTGCACATTCCAAACGCTCGGTAATTTACGAGGACTAGGGTAGCTACATTGCATTTGCTACTGGTAACAAAATTAGCCTTACATTTAGACCTTTTAGGTATTTACTGGCTGCCTCGACTTGGAGGACGGGGCTTGGGAGAAACGTGCATTCTTGAAGTTTCGTTCCACACTTACCTCTAAGAGATCGGCCATCTCTCCTTCAGTTTATGCAATTCAATAGGCCTTGGCTTGAATGGGATTTCTGTAGATCGATGTGTCAATAGAGAGGGCACCATTTGAACAGTCCTGATTATGCTTTATAATATGACTTTTGGCAGCGTTCATTATTGAGACAGCAAATTCTTTGCATCCGAGCAGCTTTGATGGTGCGACCAAATAAATTCCGTTTAACCGAAAAGTTTGAAAGCTGCAGGTGTTAGATTTGTGAAAATTTGATGATAAATAACCATTTGCGTTCATCAAAATGCATATCGCAGTCACTGAAATTCTTTCATACACGGTGAAAAACAAAATTTTACATGTTCAAGTCTAATAGAGGAAAAAACCGCTGTCAATTTTAAAGGCACGCGGATTGCTGCCGATATCATTACAATGCTTGGGATCTTGCCGCAACAGAATGTAGCATATGCAAAGAAATCGTTTGATTTATACTTGTTCGTCACACAGATTTTAGATATTCCTGTAACAAACTCACGGAAATCACCGAACATACGAATACATAGATAACGCTCAAATAACTACAATTAATGTAGTCGACTATCCAGACCACCATCCACTGAACATCACCAAAAAACTGGAATCTTACCGAAAGGAAAAAAATCCAGAGCGGATAAAACAATCAGTCTATACCATTCTGCGAAAAAGATATTGGATATTGGATTGCTATTGTTGTTTGACTGTTTGTCGGTTTTCAGTTACACGCTATCTTATAGCTAACGAATATGGAGGAATTACGGAATCAGCGTGTCTTGGAAAATCTTGATTTACTAAAAAGTCTTGCAAGTATGTAATTAACATCGAAAACATTTGAGCTTTATGAAGATGTATGTGACGATGACATGGAGAAGATCAAAAGAATGTATGGGATCAAAATGGTATGTTCAACCATTATCCAAACTAATGATAGAGTAATTAGTGTTAAAAGCCGTTTTGACCAACAGGCTTACAACTATTATCACTCAGTTAGGTTGAAGTCCACTATCTGTGCAGTTTCCCCTGAAGTCTCTCTTTTCTAATTGCTGTAGCAGTAGTTTCTAAAACACATTCAGTTATTTATATACTCTCAAGTTGGAAACCAATGTGCGTGCACTTGTTTTCAAATGTTTGACTTATAGTCTTCTAATGCACATTGCTGACGTCAGTTAATCTCGATAAGAGGGTACCAAATTAGTCCCTTGATTAATCTCAAATACATTCGTTGGCTTTGTCATCTCAGTCAGTAACGGTATAAACTGGGTCAAATAGGAGATGGTTTCGAAAAAGTATGTATATCTTGATACGTTTTTTAATGCAGGTAGACAATAGCGATCTCGAGAAGTAATAGATAAAATGAGTCCACCCAGTGTGTAGTGTTCTAGTCTTTATATAGAATCAATGGTCTATAAATTACCGATGATCCTTTAGATTAGGGACCGAATATCTTTTTTCACAAGATGGTATAAACCAATCGATTTATTGTTCTTTTAGAACGGTTTCAGGTTTTCAGCAATAGATGATAAGTACATATTAATTAGCACATGATGTTGTTAACGAAGTCACTGAAGACTCAATAGAAGAGGTACTTCCTAAAATCCCCAACAACTTCAAGACGGCTCGTTTAATGATCAGGTAAAAACATTGCAACGATGAATATGCTACGGGCTGCTTTGGATTTATATCTCTCTACTTGATTGTTCAATGTGCACAATATGAGAACTTAAATTTTATGTTAACAAGCCTCATGCTGTCAAACTACGTTAGTTTATTTCCGATCAGTTCCTGTAATAACAAACAACACATCGGCAAAGATATTAGTTTACTTATTGATAAACTACTCATGTCGATTGCTTTTTCAATGAATCAGGACTAAAAAGCTGCAGTTCATTCGTCTTTTAACAAAATGAGTTCTTTTAGTTTAAAAAACAGTATAGGGTGCTTAGAAAGGCATTACGCACAATCTTATACATGATTGTCAAGATCTTATTATGTTCCTGGCTTGATGGAAAAAGTTTCGACTTCATATTTGATTTTTACTCTCTAAAGTGACGTTCACAATGGTTTTATTCTTCGTTTTATTGAGCACTTATTATGAATAGCGTGAGCTTCCCATATAAGATCCTGTGCATTTCCTTTAGCTTTTAGTTAATCAGATGAAATCAAAATAAAATCAATACAAATATAATTGCATAAAGAGGTAATACTGTTAACTGGCACGGTAGATAAGAGCAAGAAGCTGATTAGAAACACGATGTAATCTGGTGGTAGTCAACTGAGAAAGTGTATTTGCACGAAAGAGTGAAGAATACATTTTTGAACAAAACGTTTTACAGTCGGGAAAAAATGTTCAAGGTAGAAATGTTGACGAAATCTATTATGATTTCTTTACTTTGACCATTTTACACAGCTACTCTCCACAGAGTGCCTGAAGTAGAAAGCGTTTTAGTACAAAAATTGCTTGAATCTTTTTAACTTAACATCAAAAATAGCTTGATGTCGTTAGATTTAATCTGTCTCAAATTGCATAATGTCATTTCACTACTATTTGCAATTCGAAGCTAACGTTTCTAGTATATTGTATCCACTTAAAGAATTATGCAACAAGGATGTTTGAGATGTTAAGAATACTACTTAATGTATGTAAATGATCTTTAAAAATCTGTATTGTAGGTAGTTTTTAAAATTAAGATAAATTTATTCAATCAGAAATATGAAATATGTGTTAAGTATCCAACATTATTGACGATGCGCCTTTTTAGTAATTAAAATTAGTGCTTCATCCGTCAAAACATTGTGCACACCAAATACCATTTTATTTTCAATGGTGTTTTAGTGATAAAAGCCAGTGATTATTTGGTCTTTAGTTAATTAACCACCATGTTTTGGAATTCAAAGCATCCTCACACTTCAATAACAGAATAAAAAAAGCTACCAAATAATAAAGAAATCATGAGCCGTAAGAACTACTAACAGTAAACCACGTTATTATTATTATTCACTATTTCCTATTTTAAATGCTTTTATTTGTTACCTGAACTATAGTCAAAATCCAATGTTCCGAGATGTCAGAGAATCCGCGCCAAATCATCAAAATGTATCCAGACTAAGCATGTGCCTAAAACGTTACCATGCCGTCATTCGAAAGTACCAACATTGTTAAATGAGCTTTTATTCTGTAAATAGAGAAGGAAGAAAGAAAAAGTCTCATTATCTTCAAACAGCGACAGTGATTGGATGAGCAGTGGGGATGAGTGGATTCCGGATTTGCCCAAACATTTTGTTACAAGCACGCCAACTCATAAATCATCTCATGAAAAAATGACGAAAAAAGCATCAGAATGTTGTAGCGAAATTGCCGCACTGATGGAACTTTCGAATTCCAAAGAAGGTACGTTTTAAGCTATAAACTGACCAGTTTGCAGGGAGGCGATATCCAAAACGGGAGAAAGAAAGGCGAAACTACACATTTGATGTGGTGATTCCTGAAGATGACAGGTACCTGTGTAAGTTACTTTTCTACTGTCAGTAACGAACGTGGTTGGAAATTTCTTTGAATTCAAAGATAGAGAGTGAGAGAAATTAGAAATATCGTTTTAGTTCTTTATAGATGATAGTTACAAGCTTTAAATCATCTGAGTTATGATTACATTTTTTGTACTACACAAACCAAGATGTTTCTACATAGTCTCTCCTATCATTTCATTCATAAGATTTGATAAAAACATGAATGAGGTTCATAGGTTGAGTAAAGTACAATAAATGTACAGTACAAAAACATCCAAAATTCTTATCAAATTCTATTTCCGAACAGCCTAGAAGGGCTTTCGTTCTTGCTTATAGAATGTCAATAAAAACTTTAATGTTACGGGTTTCATTCTTAAAAAACGATAAGTAACGATAACACTGAAATTTTGTAATTTTTGTTATTTCCTCAGCGTTAACTCTTTTATTTTTATTCAGACTGTTATACTTGTAAACGTTCTGTTCTTGATGGATGTTTTGATCATCCTATTATTTGGATCGACAATACACCATCAGATGTTTGCGAAGAAGTCAAAGACAAGTACATTTACTGCCAAACATCCAAATGCGTTTGTGGAGAGCCCTTTTATAAACATGCAGCTAAAACCGCCCCAAAAGGACTGATCACAATTAGCAAGTCTAGAATTCACGGAGCAGGATTGGGTGCGTATGCAAATGCTAACATACAGTGCGGAACTATTTTTGGACATTACGAAGGACAGATAGTGTATTTACATGAAATGGATAATGAGGAACGGGTCAGAGTATGTCTTTGGGTCTTCGTTGTCCATTATCTTAGTCTTAATAGATGCTCTATTAATATTTATGGACGGTTTTACCGACTTGCTAATATATGTTTTCTTTCAATATTTTTATTATTTCTAGAGGTCGCGTGGTGGATATGCATGGCTCGTAAGAGCTAATAATAATGGCGTCAGTGCTCATCTGGTGGACGCTCGAAATCCTCTGAATTCAAATTGGTTAAGAGTGAGTCCTATTTTGGCGAGGTTCTAAACTCAGAGTCGAATTAGTAATTTTCATTCAACAGTTTGTGCATAAATATCTTTTAACTGAATTTATATGCTATTTTCCCGGTAGAAAATGAACTATGAATACTTAAAGAGTGGTAAATATTTCTGTACTGTTGAACTGATCTTATACTTTCGCAAAATGACATTTACTGAACTTCTCGAGTTATAAGATGTTTGGACCATTATCCGGGGAAATCAACTTCTCTTCACAAAACGCGAACCAACATTCCATGTCCTTGTAAAGTAATGAATGCTATGTTTCAAAATGTCAACGCTTACTCATTTTCTAAATCATACTCCAATCAGCAAAGATGTTTCGGACAGTAGTAGTTTGACACAAGTGACATATTTCTCAAAACAAAAAATCCTGTCTGTGTGTTTAACCTGACTCAATTTTCATACGTATTGTAATACGGCAACACTGTAATGAAACATATTATCTATCGACTGGAATGTCTTTGTATTCAATCTCATCAGTAATAATTTTTATTAACTTTTTGTAGAGTTGTTGGGTAGACATCAATATATCCTGTTACCGTAAGTTGGTGAATGCTAGGTAAATCTTTTATATTCGGACCGAGATTGTTTCAGTAATCAGTTGTAAAAGGCTAATCCAACTTGAATAACAGGGGGTAAAATAACCATTCACTTCAAATTTGTTTTCAAAATAAATATCGTTGTAGATAAGTCTTAAGAAGTTGTCTTGCATTTGTCAGCATTTCTTCTCTATGTATTGTTTTCATAAACATTGTACTAAAAGTCTACTTGATTAATCAATCATAATCAACACTGGGCGTAGTACAAATATCCACAGCATCGTGTTAGTACGTAACACCAGCTGAGCGAGATCAAAATGAAAAATTAATCTAGACCAATGGAATTTTTGTGTAACAATAAATCATGTATATCCATTGTAGTTTTAGGATTCTCAGTTAAATTTCAATTAGTGTATCGTTGAACTAGACACGTTCAAACAGAGTGATGATAACGTTTCACCCCTAATAAAATATACATTTATCTACCATACTAAAATATAAAATTGTAGATAATAGGAATGAATTCCTAAGGAAGAGAAGATTCATAAATCTTGTTTGTGGTATCCAACTGCTACAGTTTGACCGAAAACGATTTCAATTAGATGATGAAGTTATTCTCTGTTAGACAAAATACGCCACTCCACATTTGTCATACGTTGAAGTTAATGTTGAAAAAATACATTGCAACTCATAACGCCTATCCTGAGTTTTTTCGTTGGCTCAGTGAAAGCAGTCTAAAACCATTTACTTGTTGCTAATTAATCACATTCCGTTGCACTTATTATGCAATCATTTCGTAAAACATATATGAAATATCACAAGTTGGTTTACTCTTAGCTATGATTTAAATGTACTGAAATGAGGATGGAAAGAATATATAGGCATCATGAAAGCTTCGTATTATGACCGATATTGTTTGTCACATATCGTATCCTGCTTTTCTTAGATTGTCAGCAGTAAGATAAGGTAATATTCAATAATGAATTTAAGCAGTCACATGTCTTATTCTGCAACCTAAACACTGTCTCAATTACTATAATAACTATGAGAAAATCAATTTAGCAGTCTATGATAAACATTGATTATCTAGTGGTTATTTCACGAGCACACATTACCGATCCACATGGTGCTAGTTCGTGCTATTATTATTATTATTATTATTATTATTATTATTATTATTAACAGTACTGGTCTGCATTCTACTGTTAATTTTGACAGTTAAATCATGTACATATAGATCAAAATTGTGACTGGAACATATTTTTACTTACTCGTTTATTTAGTTTGTTAATTGTGCCCGATTCGAAGAAGAGCAAAATCTTGTTACAGTGCAGTACAGAGGAAAAATTTACTATAGAGCATGCAAAGTATGCGGTTATTCTTGTTCGCTATCTCTTCTCTAGGACATTTCAAGATTCGAAGAACTTCTTACGTATTATGGAGAGGAGGTATGTTTTTACTCTATAGACTGATTTGTAAAACTCTTCCAAATAAGACAACAGAGTGGGATACCTATGCATTATGAAAGTTGCTCCTAGCAGATAATAGAAGATTTAGACTAAATATGTCAAATGTGAGCCTCTGTAAAAATCTTAATTCATGCACTAACACCTAGACCAAATAGGTTTTAATAGCAAAAAAATAATAGTTTTCGTCAGTATTTGAATTCCTTGTTTCGTATGTTCTCATCATAAGTGAATTCATATACAAAACGTATTATTTTCTACTGGACTAATCAGTGGTGATACAAATTACTATCTAACTTTAGACTCGATGAATTTCATCCAAAAGTGAATTTTCCTAGTTGTTGACTGGATCGTGAAGAACCTCGTAGCTTCTTCTGCTGTTATTACTAGGTCTTCCACATGTTTCCGCTCATAAGCTTTAATGCTGTTCTGCACTTGTCTGTTTGCTTGCTTGAGATGCAGTTTAAGGATTACCACAGAGTGTTACCCACTCACCTCATACACAAAATTATCTCACCAATGAAAAGACCTTTTTCCATCGAGCTTCTCTCACGACTTAATCCTCGAGATTACAGTGTGACTCCTAATAATCAATGATCACAAGAAAACTTCGCTGATATCTGATAGCTGACTTACCAAGATCTTAATTTGTCATCATGATGATGTATTCTTCTTTTCATTCTGTTAGTACATGTTTTTCCTGCAAATCTTCCTGAAGTGATCGTGGATTATTTTTGAAACTACCTCAGTGTTTAACTTCATTGATTCAGTTGGTATGCTGCCTGATTCTGTAACTTGCCATTCTTGATTTGCTGGATGACCATGCCGACTCATTTCATTTTTGATCCGGTAATATAGGCGGGTCTGTGTGCTGCTAAAATTTCCAGTGGGCTCAATGCGTCTAGTTTATTCAAGAGCTCTACAAAGTGTTCTACCCACGTGACCCGTTGCTCTCGATTCTCAGTTACTGGTTTATCGTATCTGTTCTGGACTGATTCCTATGAGTTTCCACTATAATCGAACATTCGATTTACTTGTATTAACTGTTACTCTGCTTGCCAAGAGTGATGTCGACCTTCTGAGTTTCGAAAAATCTCATCTCTCCCCTTAAGGAGTAATAACTCTTCTGTATAAAGACAAGATTCTTCAAGTTTCTGGATAGAAATTGATCGACTTTTTACCTGATTAGTGATTTTCGAGGCAAAATTCTAGCATACGAAGTCGGATCGAGAACCACTCACCCAACTCTACTGGCAGTATCTCTTGGGGGGTGCCCCAGAAGGAATTTATTTTTCAATTAATAACCAATGAAACTACTAATTTGAACAATTAGTATAACTAAGGCGAATATTGTCACTGGTTACTGCACAAATATGCATATCATTGTATTCACTGCAAGTTCCGAGCTATGATCTTTCAAATTTAGTCTAGAAAAATAATAGTGAATGCTTTTAGATTTTTAGTACATTCTCAACAGGTCTAAAACAAATTTTCAATAATCTCATTTCACAGCAAAGCTTGTAGACGTAAGAAATAGGCAATAATTTAACATGTGCTTATAAATTTGTCATGCATAACTGTAAATTTCTACTCATTAGTCCAAATTGGTTAATGCTTTGTTTTTAAAACTTTATTTCTAGTTTGCATCTGAACTTGAAAAAGATATTAAATTCACACAAATGACGAATGTTAAATCCAAAGGTAATACAGTAGTATTACTATAATTTGCAATAATTCGGTCATGTAAAATTTTTGTTTAGCAAAGAGTTTATAATTGATTTAAGTTTTTGTTACATCCTTGATACATCTACACAGTAGTGAATTATATTTAGTAGAGATTAGGAAAGTTAATTATTTATCAACCGTACACAATATAGTCTATTTACAGCTATATACATCAGTGCTTACTGTATATGTGGGAATAGTGAAGAACTGCTTTCTAATTCTGTCTGATATATAGTCTTGAAATATGTTACGACGTCAATATTTACTTACATACAGCAACTGATATACAAAATTTACACTAGTCTTGTTGATCATTGATATACATATATATTTTTGGAGAAATCGAATTTCAGTCGAGCCGAAGACAGAGTGATAACTTTGTTCACTATTACATAGGTTACAATTAAGTAATGGTTGTCACTATCATATGAACTCATTTGTTACTTGAGCGATATTGATATCAAGCAGAAGACAAGTTTTCTTGGATTTACATTGGACTTGTCGCGGTTGACAATTGTCACCACTACAGACCAATTACGTTCCCATCACTAAATAATATAACACCGTGAATCAATGACAATCCATACGAAGGAATAAATCTGTTGGCGATTTCGTGGTATCGAAGGAATACCGAAATCGTGTCAGGAAAGAAGGGCAACAGTACAGCAGTACAGTACAGTACAACCAAAACAGAGGCAACACAAAAGGAACGTTTCCGCGTACAAATAACAAATAAACAAAACGTTCTGTAAAACAATCACTGCTACAATTAGTTATAATAATAAATGTTTCTATTACGAAAAATACGTTCACTTCATAAAAGTGGAATGAAGATGATGAATGTTTTCGTTATTTTACAGATGAACGATTCCAGTGTGATCAATGTGGCACAATCTTCACTCGAAAAGGCAATTTGAATACGCACATGAAGTCTGTTCATGGAAGTAAGTTTTCCGTTGAGTACGGACTATTTATGATATGTTTGTATTATGCTGTTAGTTTTTGGTTGAGTACGGACCATTTATGATATGTTTGTATTATGCTGTTCTGTGTCAACCTACTTCGAATTGTTGAAATACAGAATTCATTCATCGCTATCTTTGAAGCATTTTTCCCGTGTTCTGTCACAACCTAGTAAGCAATGCTGTTGTTAGGAAACGAATAATAGGTAGGAATGAAATATTGAAACTTCATCAGTTGAGGTGATTGAGACATGTGTTACGAATTGCGAACCACCGACTGATTCGTTGCGCTATGTTTTGCGATGTAGGATGTTGATAACTCAGTTTGCTTAGATACATAAATTCGGTCTGTCTTTTTTTGACAGTAGCAAAACATACTAAATCCATGTTTGTGTATTGATTATTGTTATCTTCAATGATATTGAGACATCGACACCATGTCAACTGTCAACTTAATGGTGTATGTGCTCAAGGATGTGAACACTAGCTATCATTTCCATTCATTGGACGTACGTTCTATAACTGGTAAACACATTGGTAGTAGCATAAGGTGTCATTCACTTATGACATTATCCTAATGAGCAGTGGTGCAGATGCATTCACTCTTTGTGTTCTATGAAATTCTAACCTTCTGAACTACTCATCACCTCTATCTTTCTCTTTATAAATTTACCTCACTGAATTATACTTCTTGACTAACATCTTCGAACCCTAATCTCTTCGATTACTTCTAATACTTTTACTAACTCTACTACTATGGGCTTTTAACTGACAATTATATTTCTGTGATAACTGGGTATGGTAACTTGAACTATTGTACTCACGTGCAATGATCCACGTTGCCGTTGATGATGATGACCTGCATCTCGGAGTCTATTATATTATCAGTATTCTTATTGCTATCCATCACTTCTAAACCTTTTTGTAAGTATAATATATGCTGAAAGATAATAATAATAATAGTTGTGTAACATTGGAAAAATGGGGATAGAATAATAATAGACTCACCGTCAATGGCTTTCTTTATGAAAAGACATCAACAGATGTTGTAGCGAACGCTTGAAACGCCGTGGCTCACCAATTAACATTGGACTCATCGCGGTTGACAATTGTCACCACTACAGACCAATTACGTTCCCATCACTAAATAATATAACACTGTGAATCAATGACAATCCAAACGAAGGAATAAATCTGTTGGCGATTTCGTGGTATCGAAGGAATACCGAAATCGTGACAGGAAAGAAGGGCAACAGTACAGCAGTACAATACAGTACAACCAAAACAGAGGCAACACAAAAGGAACGTTTCCGCGTACAAATAACAAATAAACAAAACGTTCTGTAAAACAATCACTGCTACAATTAGTTATAATAATAAATGTTTCTATTATACCAATCACGTTCACTTCATAAAAGTGAAGTGAAGATGATGCATGTTTTCGTTATTTTACAGATGAACGATTCCAGTGTGATGAATGTGGCACAATCTTCACTCGAAAAGGCAATTTGAATACGCACATGAAGTCTGTTCATGGAAGTAAGTTTTTCGTTGAGTACGGACCATTTATGATATGTTTGTATTATGCTGTTCTGTGTCAACGTGCTTCGAATTGTAGGAATACAGACAAATGTTTGACTTAGGAATAAATCAGAAAAATCATTAGGAAGAGAAGTGATCACGAATATTTGCCTCCGTAAGGATGGATTACTGCTATTATTATTGTCAGTCACCCTTCTATTTCTTCTGTATCACATAATTACATAATAGATATAGACGCATTTCAACGAATGAGTTGCATAAAATGCATAGAACTGTTGTGATCAGTCGTTATCACATCGTAATGATTGTGCAACACCGTATTAAACATTACTCCATTGCTATGGAAATGTGGAATGTATAAGTGTATAAAGCTATTTATACTATTGTTTTAACTTCAAAAACAAATATTCAGAATAATTGTCAATAATGAACGAGTAGATAGTGAATGTTTTCGTTATTTTACAGATGAACGATTCCAGTGTGATCAATGTGGGGCAAACTTCACTCAAAAAGGACATTTGAATACGCACATGAAGTCTGTTCATGGAAGTAAGTTGGTTGGATGGTTGTCCAATAATACCAGTTGTAATGACTGGTTTTTGCGGACCGATTGATGAAGGGAGGCACAAGTAGTGTGTGATGGACGAATTATTAAATTTAACAATTAAAATGTCAAACTCACACTTAGCGAAAACTAATTTGTCCAGTGCCAGTTAGCGAGGTTTTGCCGTGTTCGGGTGTCTGGGGGATACGATGTGGCTTACCTCATACTTATTCACCGATATAATCTACACGGTTCAGTTACTTTAGGCAATTTATCAAACATAACATGAAATAAATAATCATGTAAAAATAATACACCAGTGATTCGATACACATCTGTTTGACCATTAAGACCATTGGATTTAATATTAGATGAAGAATCAATTAACTGCAGCGTACGTGAATCGAATAGCAATTGAAAGTGCTGTAGGGAATGGATACCGAGTACGACTGTGGAAACAATAACATGGGTGGACGTTCACAGATACTGTCGTCACTGATTCATGATGATTGTTAGCTGTCTCTACTGTAGGTAGGAATGACAGAGCCATTTGCAGAAGACTAGAAATAAACCAGGCTGGTTTTCGACCTGGACGTGTCTCTATAGACCACATGTTCACACTACGACAGATCTCGGGACACAGACACACATTTAGGCGTCCGGCATTAGTTGTATTCCTGGACCTTAAGCTGGCATTTGACACTGTGGATCGTGAGGTCTTGTGACAGTGTCTGTCGTTAACAGGTGCACCAAAGAAGTACTTTAACCTCATAAAAGCTCTCTACTGGAACACCACTGATCGAGTGAGAGGCTATGGCAAGCCGTCATCGGAATTCATTACTTCAAGTGGTGTACGTCAGGGATGTCAACTCTCCACATTCTTGTTCAAGTTTGTCACAGACATGCTCCTAGATATAATATTATCTTCGTCTGAATTTTAAGGAGTAAACCTTCTTCCAAGAGTCTCGCTTATTGACTTAGAATATGACGATGACATAATTATATTCGGTGAAGACGCTGACAAAATGTAGAGTCTTCTGACTACCCTGAGCAACAATGCAATCATGTACTGGATGCAGATTTCCCCCACCTCGAATTTCAAAATGTTGCTTCGAGATCGGGTTTCATCGGTACCTGAATTAGTGATAGGGAGTGAAGTAGTCGAACATGTAGACCACTTCACTTATCTCAGGAGTCTCATCAGTGTTGATGGTCTGGTGACTGACGAAATCTCAGCACGGACAAAGGAGGCTCAACTGGCTTTCGCTAACTTGCGTGGGGCAAGCTTCACTACCAAGGGCAATTGGTATTGTCACATGAAATCCGTTCACGGTCAAAACTTAGTTTTCCCTTATATTTGACAGTCAAAGGCGGGAAAGTAAATTTGTTAGACATGTTTGAAATTGATTAGTCGTCATGATATTATTATGATTTTAGTACACTGAGTTTCACATTACTCTTATATTACGGAAATGTTCTATGTATGAACAATATTTGAAATAAAATGAGTATTTTGTGATGCTGTTTGAGTTTACTAGTAACAGTGGAATCATTTAAGGAAAAAATGATTACACCGATCGTCTTCTCAAGAAAGAAGAAGAGGCTGTAATGAAAGTTTTGTGAAAAGATAATGTGTATCAAGATTATCATCAGTTTTTTGTTCAGACATTTATGAATGACGAATTAGGATAACTGTTTAATGTCTGGCGATCGTGTTATCATTCCACAATCTGTTCAGTCTTCTATTCTTAGCCAGTTTCATATTAGTAATTCTGGAATGAACAGAATGAAAGCCTTTATGCGAATTGTGTCTATTGGTCATCCATGGGTAAGGATTTGAAAGAATGTTATGTCACTGATGTGCAGAAGATGCACAGGTTCCATTGAAAGTAAAAGCTTAGCCATGACCAGAGACCAATTACCTTGAGTCTGAGTGCACATCGATTTTGCAGGACTAATATATGGTCACTATTTCCTTGTAGTGGTAGATTCGAACTGGAAATGCTCTAATGTGTAAGAAGCCTATCTACATCTGAAACACTGTTACATTTCAGATAACTATATGCATGTTTTGGGACACCTAGCGTTTTGGTTCTCGATGATGGAAGGCTATTTGTATCTGAATTTGTGGAGTTCTGCAAACAAAATAGTAGTGAAGATGTTAGAACTCCATTGTTCCACAGACTGTCGATTAGGTAAACTGAAAAATTTGCTGATCTTTTTAAGTGAATTCTATTAAAGATGGGAAAAGAAACTAGAGTTGAAGAAGCTCTATAACAGTTTCTCATGCCTTGTAGAACGATGCATAGCCTAAATTGTCAAGATAAGAGATCAACAACCGAAAATGTTTGGTAAACCATACAAAACATTTTGATCGTGACAGGAAAGAAGGGCAACAGTACAGCAGTACAGTACAGTACAACCAAAACAGAGGAAACACAAAAGGAACGTTTCCGCGTACAAATAACAAATAAACAAAACGTTCTGTAAAACAATCACTGCTACAATTGGTTATAATAATAAATGTTTCTATTACACCAATCGCGTTCACTTCATAAAAGTGGATTGAAGATGATGAATGTTTTCGTTATTTTACAGATGAACGATTCCAGTGTGATCAATGTGGAACAAACTTCACTCAAAAAGGCAATTTGAATACGCACATGAAGTCTGTTCATGGAAGTAAGTTTTTGGTTGAGTACGGACCATTTATGATATGTTTGTATTATGCTGTTCTGTGTCAACGTGCTTCGAATTGTAAGAATATAGATGGACGTTTAATGTAACAAGAAATCAGGAAATGCAATAATATCAGAAGTGATCATGAATATTACCCTTAGTAATGATGGATTATTGCTACCATTATTATTAGTCTCCCGTCTATTTTTCCCTTGCTCGAAATTTTCGATGGCTGCGTTGTATTCGATGTAGAGCCCACTGCTTCAATGTCCGTTGATCTGACTGATATTTTAGAATGTTTGAATATGCTATGAAATTAATCTACACATCAGTTGCCGTCTCTTATATATTCAGGCAAACCCAGCTTAAGCAACGGCAATATAGTGAAGCCAGATAGGAATTCCGTTGGATGAGTTTATTTCAGTCGATTGTTCAGGCAGACATGACAATGAAAAGTATACAAGCAAAGCGAATTGAAGTTGACAAGCGAGTCTACTCAATTCGATTTCGCATTTATAGTGAGACTAAGTAAGCGAGTCATGTAGTAAGTGAAGTGGGCGTGGGCACAAACGAATAAAAGCAGTCAAGCTATGAGCGCATGACTGACAAGGTCGAAAATCGTTGAATAATAACTTGAGAATAGTGAACTGAATAATTAATCCATAGTCAGGGATACGCCTGTGAGCTCAACATAAAGGTACAGGCACTATAAATTACCTGTGGATTTCAATTTTTGAATTGTATAGAATGCACAGAACAGTTTTGATCAGTCGTTATCACTTCGTAATGATTGTGCAACACCGTATTTCACATTACTCCATTGTTATGGAAATGTGCAATGCATAAATGAAGAGAGCTGTTTTTATACTGATGTCCAAAACTCACAAATAAATATTCGGAATAGTTGTTAATGATAAACTTGAATTTGATGATCTGTTCATTGATCTAATTCATTTGTTTGTCAGCTTTGTTATAAGCGTAAAGCTTTAAACAATTATACTTAAAATATTCACTTCATATAGTTAGTTACTTGACTTATGTATTAATGAAAACTATTATCATCTATCATGACTTACATTCGACATTGAATCCTTCAGTTTACTCTTCTTCTCTTATAAATATTTTCTAAATTTCATTTGTTAACAAACTTTTAGTTCTTTGAAAATTTACTAAAGCTCTTCCATCTTTATTATTATAGAATCTTGTGCATACACAGGAAAAAAAATATAATAAAAACACAGATTTAAGAAAAACAAAAATTATTTATCAGTATTTCGGATGTTTACTGTTACGAATGCACGTAAACATGTCATTTGAGATGTTTGAATTATTATTACGAGTTAACCTTAGTCGGAAAACGAGATCGAGGATCTGGTGACACAACATGCTACTCTAATCCGAGTATCACAACCCACGTTGAGTGAAAGAAGAAGACTTGCTATGAAGTAGAACATGTATTCTATAAACATCCAGAAAGTATGAGGTCCCAGTCCAGCAGAAGACACGGATTCCTGACTGAGGATTCAGGTCCAGGTCATAAAATGTTACAGATAATGCGTGTTCATACATTTAGGTCGAATAGGAAACAGCATCGAAGTCTGTGATGTTGACATTTATGGAAAACACGTTGAAGTATGTGGCATTGATAGCTAGGATGACCATAATATTCACCAATAGGAATCGAACAATAGAATTTACACTCACAAAATAATTCTTCATAAGATATTTAGTGAATATCCTAACAGTTACACAAACGCTGTAACTCGAATATTTATCAGGGCAGTAAACAGTAGTATTTCAATACAGAAAAGCTCAAATGTTACTGGATAAGTAAATTCACAAATGTAATGAAATGTAGTTTGCTATAGTTTGGCTATTCACTAAACCGCACATTAGAAATCTCACTTAATGGAAAAAATTTATCACTGTAATGTTGCTTATCCATTACTCCTTGAAGCAAGACATTTAGGTTTACAGGATTCTTACAATTGCAATTACAATTTTCTATCAATGAAGCTTAACACACACTTGAATTTGATTGTAAATTGTAAATTACACTCTACTCTCTCTATCATTCTCTGTTATTCTGTGTTGTATACACTTTGTTTTCGGTTTTTCTTTTCCAGGAAAAAGCGAGAAACACATTGAAAAATCAACACTTTAATCAAACAACTACCTGATTTTCTTGGTTTATTAATAACAAATTTTACCTTGCATTTTGTACAACGTTTGTATTGTTTAAATAAAAACTGTGTATAGTTAGTTATCTGTACAGTTGATTCTCCTTTTTAGTTATTTTTGTAGTGACAGACTGCTTCAACAAGTTTAAATTACAAAATTCAATCGAATAGAACTAATTAGTTCAACTTAGAAGATACTGTTTTGATCAAGAACATTCACAGAGTACAGTGAAAATAGTGTAATTGAAAAAATCATAGTGTCTAAGTAAAGCTGGATAATGGCGAAAACTTTTCTATTTAAATAAGCTTAGTGTATATTGTAATGTATACCGCCTATCACTTCTTTACTTTCAAAATGTTAGTTCAGTTTGTAAATACACGTGTAGGCATAAGATTTGAAATTTAATCTTCAGTCATAAAACCATCACCGAACTAATGATTTGTATTTCATTATAAGTGAAACTTATGTCTTTTTTGTTTAAGCTATATCTTGAAGCTGTTTCAGGACTTATGAACATATCAACAGACGTGCGACCTCACCTTCCTCACTAGCCTCTTAAGGAAATTCTCCCAGTTCAAATGCGAAGACGTAACCAGTGGAGATCATCCCTGTCGGGTGTAGGCAGTTCCTGTCAAAGAAAAGTAGGAAAGGTCGCGTAAAATCTTTAGATTAATCAGAGTTAGACATTGACAGCGTTGGACGCCGGCCTAATGGTCCAGTGGTTAGGCATTCGCACGCAAGATCGAAAGCACTGAATTGGAATCCTGAGAGGTGCAGGAATCGTGAATGTAGGATTTAATTCGTCCTACAGATGTACTGTTATAACTGTGAAAGCAATATTGCGGAATACGGAGCAAACATACCGACCAATATAGCGTGTCTTATGAAAATCAATAAAATTATAAATCACATCAATATAATAAAATAATAATGTCCTTCAATTAGTAGGTGATTTACAACAAAACAGTTTACAGACACGTCAGACCAGATCACGTGGTAAGCGCTTAAACCGCGATTTGATTGATTAGTTATGGAAGTAACTAACAAATTCATTCTATCCGGTAATTAAAAATTATGAAAGACGCAGTTACTTCAAACATACTGTTTTATTTGAATCTGTAATGATGCATGATAGATCCCAGAAGAGATTTCACACGAAACCAAATCCGGAGCCTTCATATCATCATATCATTTACATTTTCATCGAGGAAGCACTGGCCAGTCGTTTTGTCCTAGTATAGGACTTCACGACCACACGATTGGGGATTAAACCAAGAAGGACCTTAGGTCTCGAGCCGTAAAGCTTAATCTTCAGACCACTGTGTAAGTATCAAGTGATTTAACTCTTATCATTTTTTAATATCACACAATTATCTTCCAACTTACTTACACTAGGTAGATGTCACACATTTGACATGACTGAACTCCACTCACTAATCATGACTACTAAGTTTAAGATGTTAACTACAAAAATTCAAAAATAAAATATTTGATAAAAACTAGTTAATATTTAAATTTTCATAGAGAAGTAAAAAGAAGGCGTTGACTTGGAAAGTATCATGTATTCATTCGCGTTTAACATTTACAACAATCTAACAATTGTCTCTGTAGTTACAAAATTGATAATTGAAAATATGCGATAGAGAAAAGAAGATTAAAATGAAAAAGATAAATTGTCACACCATACTCGGCTTATTTATTTAAGCAAGCACTCTACCCGACTGACTAGCTGGAATTAAGGTTTACGGCAAACTGTCTGTGTCCACTGGTTGGAATTCCTATACACATAAAATAATCGACTAACTGACACATGCAAATATTTTCAGGCCCAAACAACAAGGTAAATCGTATCTCTCAATTCGAATCATGTGACAAGACATGATGGCAGACCTATATTTCTTAATATAACCTGGATATATTATTTTATTTGGTATTGAGGATGAAGAGAAGTAGAGACAAATGGAAATAAACTGCCTAATCGATCGAGTAGTTCAGTTCAGTGAAGCACTTTGTTATCCAACTCAATCCCAATTTTTCATTGTAATTTTTTCTTTTGAACGAAATCCAACTAAGACCTGGAAATTCAGTTCTTGTAATATGAATTGTATTGTTAAAGCCTAATCATCAGTGGGAGCGAACAAGCCAATTTCAAGAAGGGGAGGAAATCAGGAAGAAGTGGTGAAAGTGGATAGGATACAAACTGCGAAAAGCACCCAACTGCGTCACAAGACATGCTTTCACATGGAACCCTAAAGGTAAAAAGAAAACAGGAGGGCCAAAGAACACATCACACCGAGAAATAGAGAAATATACAAGAAGAATGAACAAACATTTGACAGAACTGTCAAGGGAAGTTCAGGACAGAGTAGGTTTGAGAATACTGGTCAGCAGCCTATGCTACATCGGGGCCAACAGGCGTAAGTGAGTAAGTAAGTAGTATTACCTACTTATGACATTAATTGATAGTACCACAACAATACTAAGTGAATAACGTGAGAAACTAGAATTGAAAGTTAGTTAGAGATGGCTGGAATGGAAGGCCATTTAACGACCATCATAAATGCCTCATGGCCTGGTGACCGATGAAATCTCAGCACGGATACAGAAAGCACAATTGCATATCGCCTATTTACGTCATTTATGGCGTAAGCGAGATATCCTTTTGTGGACTATGGGACGAGTGTACTGTGCAGCAGTTCGCTCCGTCCTAATATACGGATGCGAAACATAGCCGGTAAGAGCGGAAGATATTCGTAGGTTACTAGTATTCGATCACAGATGTCTTAGAAGCATTGTTTGTATATCGTGGGATACCCGAGTAAGCAATGCTGTCATTAGGTAGTAAGTAGTAGATAAGTATGGCAGATCAATTGATGAAGTATTGAAACTCTATCAGTTGAGGTGGTTGAGACAGGTGTTACGAATTCACAACCACCGAATGCCTCGACGAGCTTTGTTTTGTGGTGTAGGAGTAGGTTGGAAGAAAAATAAGGGCGGCCAGACTAAAACATGGCAGAAATCCATGAAGTCACTGACAAGTGGAAATGGCGCACGTGCATCTACTCTTTGTATTCCCTCAAATCCTAATCATCTGTATTCGTCAACACCTCTACTTTTGGCTTTCTAAACCTATCTCAATGAATTATCCTTCTTTAATAATATCTTTGAACCCTAATCTTCTCTATTACCAGTAGTACTCCTACTATCTCTACCACTATGGGATTTGAATTGGCAGTTGCTTCTCTGTGCTAATGTGGTATGGCAACCTGAACTGATGTACTTACGTACGAAGTTCTACGTTCCATTTTACTGACTAATTAGTGACTCACAGGACAAATGCATATCATATGTAAAGGAGTCGGGAAATATCTATGTAGAAGAGTATTTGTACTTATGATTCAGCGTCTGAATAGACTTCACATTCCAGTCTTACCTTTTCGCTCAAGTAGTCAGTTTTAGGAGTTTAACACAAATCGCTAATCATGACAGAAACCTGAACTCAATAAAGTAAGGAGAACACACTGACTATGAAACCTGGAAGTTCTAGTTCCGATCCTTAATGAAGTCTTTTGTATTCATTAAGTATTGGGCAATCCCAATCAGAACAAAAACCAAGCACATAATTTCTTACTTCTAAAATTTCAATAACTCCGCCAGTAGAACCTTAGGGGCTACTGCCGGTCCCAAGCCCGGGTAAAGGAGGAGGGTTGGACATGGGGTTGGCGACCCCATTCCGTCAAAAACTAACTTGCCAAAAAAACGCTAACCAGAAAAAATAATTCAAACCATTTTAACTCTGCCCTGGGAGTTGGAAGAAGAATTATGACGTCTCGTGATGAAAGCCGAGTTCCCTCGGAAGTCACGGGGCTGATGCCTCTTCTGACAACCAGAGCAACCATTTTTTTAGGTACATGGAACGTTCGTACATTGTGGGAGACTGGAAGACTATTTCAAGTTGCGGCAGAAATGAAAAGATACAACCTCGAGGTGCTTGGAATCAGTGAAACACATTGGACACAAGTAGGACAACTGAGACTAGCTTCAGGGGAACTGCTGTTATACTCTGGTCATGAAGAGGAAAATGCTTCACATACACAAGGAGTTGCATTGATGCTGTCCAAACATGCACAAAAGGCACTGATAGGATGGGAATCTCATGGACCCAGGATCATTAAAGCATCCTTCAAAACAAAGAAAGAGGACATTACAATGAACGTCATCCAATGTTATGCACCTACCAACGACTACAATGACGACGACAAAGATCAATTCTACGAAAGGCTGCAGTCAATCGTCGATAAATGTTCACCAAAGGATTTGACGATTCTTATGGGAGACCTGAATGCCAAGGTTGGCATGGACAACACTGGATATGAAGACATCATGGGACGACATGGACTGGGAGAAAGAAACGAAAACGGTGAGAGATTTGCAAACCTATGTGCCTTCAACAAACTGGTAATCGGTGGCACAATATTCCCGCACAAACGCATACACAAAGCTACATGGATTTCACCGGATCACACTACTCAAAACCAGATTGATCATATCTGTATTAACAAAACGTTCAGAAGGACTATGGAGGATGTGAGAACCAGGAGAGGAGCTGATGTAGCCTCAGATCACCATTTGCTAATCGCCAAAATGAAACTGAAACTAAAGAAGCACTGGACAACGGGACAGACAACATCGCACAAGTTTAATACGGCCTTTCTTCGGGATACTGTAAAGCTCAACGAATTCAGGATAGCCCTCACCAATAGGTTCCAGGCCTTTCAGGATCTACTCAATGGAGAGGACACAACATTGGAGAACAATTGGAAAGGGATTAAAGAGGCAATCACTTCAACATGTCAGGAGGTCCTTGGTCGCAAGAAGCAGCATCACAAGGAATGGATCTCTGTTGATACTCTCGCAAAAATTGAAGAAAGGAGGAACAAGAAAGCAGCAATCAATGTCAGCCGAACAAGAGCGGAGAAAGTT